TGGGACCAGAAACGCCTTTTGGGACCAGAAACGCCCCTGGGACGTGTCTTTAAGCCGAACTTCCTCATGGTGAAGCTCTTTTCAGATTCAAAATACCTTTGAGGAAATGTATTTTCAGATGCCAAGTAAACTGCATCATAGCGCATGCACAAACGCGACCCCCCCCCTGACTGAAATTGACGGGACAGAAGTGGAAGGTGGTTCTTAAAGAGACAGAGGCCAATTTCAAGACGTTTAGAAGAGGAAGTGATGAGAAGATAAGTTTATTTTCTATTTAAACATAAAAACAGCATTTTAATAACAGATAAAGGTGACATAGATACTTTATGGTATAGTATTTAAATGTATGCCTGAGAAACACATAATATTACCCCTTTAAGAACATCCCACAGAWATTTACAGTCATCACCTCCAAGAGACATAAATAAACAATAGATCAATATAGAGGCGATGTCGATCTCTTGTGTGGATCCTGTTCATGACGCCTAATTGTTGTAATAAATATAATTAGTTAACAAGAACAGAAATACGTGATTCAAAGAATAAAGTCACTTTGAAGAATTGTTGTTTGAGTTTATTTATTGCAGTAAACAGGAAAACAGAAATTAACACAGAACCATGCCAGTTCTCTGTCAAAATCTGTGCTAACAGGCAGTTAACTAATGGCTAACTATACTGTTTCAGTATACAGATGCCATTTTAAAACAGACAACGACCTCATTCCAGGCTCTGTACTGGATCAAAATAAAATGTGTTACAACAGATATAATGATAAATTACAGCAGAAATCATCCTGGCCAAAATCATCCCTATTTGTTGATAAACAAAAAGAACAGAGCTGTCACAGTAAAGCTGATGTCATCGAGTCAGTAGGGGATGTCATAACCTACTTGCCTAAACTAAAACTTAATTTTCCATTACAAGCAGAAAAAGAAGAAAGAAGAGGATTCTCTTTTTTACCTTTCTCAGCCTCAGGTGGCCCCAGAGCTCCATGTCTGAACCGACATACCTCCCTGGAGTCGAAGCGACCAAATAAACTCTGACATGAGAACAAAAGGATTCAAACCTCAGAACACACACTACAACCACAGAAATGGAAAGGTAAAAAAAAAGGTGAGGGTGTTTACCTCGTCTCTGACAGGTCGTGTTCTTTGATCCGTTGGATCCACTCTTCAAGTTCTTGTGCACGATACGACGCCAGGTAGTCCAGCAGGTCCCGCTTGAAGAAGGTGGGCGACTCGCCTGCACTTGGACTGCTCCCCTCTGGTAACCGTGGAAAGAGAGGGCTCATCCACATCCTGATCAGGGGCAAAGCAGATTTAGCAGAAGTTAGTGAGTGCTAAACTACCCTCTTCCTTCAGATCAGGGGTTCTACACATATTTTATTGTGAAAATCCAGATTTTTCTTCATGMAAATTTTCAAACATTTTATCCATTTTTGAATCACTTTTAGACATCAGATCTTTTTAAAGTTTTATGTAATTTGACGTATTTGGACAATAGTGCTGTTTTTTTTTATCTGTATTTTTATGTAAAATTACTGGATTTTGATTTATTAGATTATTGATTTTTCCAAAAACATTTTTAGGCTTTCCAACTAAAAGACACACGGGAAGAAATTATTCTCCCCTAAATGTACCTTTATTTTATACAAACCTTTTAGAAAAGATTACAAACGTGGACATCATGGTGACTCTGCCTAACTTCTATGTGTAAAAATCACTGCTTGTTTGAATAACCTTTAGAAATGCTGATTTTAGGTTTTAAATCAGAGGAGCCCAAAGTGGGGCCCGAGGGCCAAATTTGGCCCGCCAAGCCATTTGATTTGGCCCACCAACAGTTGCCAAAGTTACAAGATTGTAAGCTTTTATCCTATGTAGAAACACAGTATTTCCATTGGTCAAATGACTGTATAAAAGGGCTGTAGTGAAGGTTTTCATTCATGGTGCTGACATATCTTTGATTTATTAGGATTAAACATGAAACGGCAACAAGAAATATTTAGATCAGATTTAACCCCATATGTAGATTTGCACACTTTATAAGGCCATAAAAACTCATATTTTATCAATTTATGAAATGTCCCATGTTTATGAAATGTCCCATGAGCCTTTGCTACTTGAGCGTATGGCAGAATTTCTCCAAGTGCACAGACTAAAACAAAAGAGGGCCATTGCATAGCTTGATCGTTAAAAATAAAGGACTTTACTTTTAAAAGTATTTGTATTTCATGTGTTATAATATTGCATTTAGCCCGCAGCTCTGAATAGATTTTCATTTTGGCCCTCTCAGGGAAAATGTTTGGGCACCCCTGTTTTAAATACTGCATTATGTTAGAAATTCTGGAAATACCTTCTTTTCAATGCTTTTTCTTTCTTTCAAATCTATCCAGAGCTTACAAAAAAAACTAAATGAATCAAGATCTTTTCAGTTAGTTTTTCCACTTAAATCAGCATCTCCAGTCAAATCCACCGTTGTACAGGTTGCAGCCCCCCACCAGACCCTTTTTCAAAAACAACAGTAACCCACCCTTGTGTCTTCTGGTACCAGTCAGCTCTGATCATGTTGGAGGTGAGAATGATGACTCGGAAGCCTTCCTCGTACCACAGCAACATCATCTTCCTGCATTCAGACAAGCAGCAAAGAGTTTCATTTCACAACACAAGCTGAAACGTGTCAGTTGACATTTTGCAGTTAAAAGACTTGTTTTAAACTCAGAGGTGCTCACGTGTGGTGAGTTCCAAAAGCAATGTCCAACTTGGCCTGACAAACAAAAAATAACAAGAAAAAATGAAACATAAAGCTGCATTTCCAAAATCAGAACTCTTTTAATGTTACTTAAATCATCACAGATGTTATTGTTACTATTTTTTCTTTCTTTTTTTTTTTTTTTTCTTATCTATTCTTCTCCTGTATACAGTGGGGAGAACAAGTATTTGATACACTGTTGATTTTTCAGGTTTTCTTACTTGCAAAGCTTGTAGATGACTGTAATTTTTATCATAGGTACTCTTCAACTGTGAGTGATGTAATCTAAAACAAAAATCCAGAAAAATACAATGTATGATTTTTAAATAATTAATTTCCATTTTATTGTGTGAAATAAGTATTTGATCATCTATCAACCAGTAAGAGTTTTGGCTCTCACAGACATGTTAGTTCTTCTTTAAGAAGCCCTCCTGTTCTCCACTCATTACCTGTATTAACTGCACCTGTTTGAACTCGTTACCTGTATAAAAGACACCTGTCCACACACTCAATCAATCAGACTCCAGCATCTCCACAATGCCCAAGACCAGAGARCTGTGTAAGGACATCAGGGATAAAATTGTAGATCTGCACAAGGCTGGGATGGGCTACAGGACAATAGGCAAGCAGCTTGGTGAGAAGGCAACAACAGYTGGTKCAATTATTAGAAAATGGAAGAAATACAAAATAACGGAAAATCTCCCTCGGTCTGGGGCGCCATGCAAGATTTCACCACGTGGAGCATCATTGATCTTGAGGAAGGTGAGGAATGAGCCCAGAACTACAYGGCAGGACCTGGTCAATGACCTGAATAGAGCTGGGACCACAGTCTCAAAGAAAACAACCAGTAACACTCTAC